TGTATAAAGACATGATTCTGACAACTGTTGGAATGCAGTCAGATTGTCACAGATGTCCTACCTCTGGCAAACTTGAGTGACACACTGTGTCTGGAGAGGATGACAGGGCATACAGAACTGTCTGGGTGTGAGCCTCAGGTGTAGAATTTCACTGTCCTCTGCTGCATGAAGGATGCCTGCTTAGAAGGCAGAGAAAAAGGACAGTGGCACCAGTTAAAAAAGATTTTGGCTTTGTCAGCATAGAGAAAAAAGCTTGGCCTGATTCAATTGGAGGGCAAATAGAAGGAAGATGGACAAAAGGTAGGGAGTGAAGGGGCTTACTAGGGAAGTGAAAAGTGGGAACATAAACAAGATAATACTGTGAGATATACTTGCCTTGGATCCCTATTATGAATAGATATTTTATATACAATAAATACCCTAATAATCCTGGCATTGGGGAGCCCGAGGTAGGAGGATTATCATGAGTTTGAGGCCATCCTGGGCTACATAAGGAGTCCAGTCTCTAAAATAAAATAATAATACAAAAGGGAAAAGTCTGGATTTATTTATTGACAATAGAATCATACATATGTTAAGCTCCTTTCTTGAATGTTAAATGTTCAACATCAAAATTTTTATTGTAGGGTCTGGATGATGGCTCAGTGGAATAAGCACTTCCCTGGCAAGCACAAGGGCCTGAGTTCAATCCCTGTTTCTGCCAAAAAAAAAAAAAAAACAACTTTAGAAATGTTAAAAAAAATTATTATACTTCAGCACCTTCAGATCACAATCAAAGCATAAAGGCATAAAAATGTTGCTTGTTTTTATCAATCATAAAAAGAATCTAGGGATTACTAGGCAATATACACACATCTTGGCAGCCATGGTTTAAGGTTTCATTATGTAATTTTACTGTATATTTATTTGTCATAGTGGGGATTGAAACCTCGGTCTCTACCCTTTAGTATTCCCCAAACATTTTTCATTTTGACACTGCCTCATGATAACGTGCCTAGGTTAGCTTTGAATTTGCACTTTATCTTCTCAGTCTTGCGAATGGCACAGTTTGGAGGACTATGCTAGCACACCAAACTATTCACTTACTTATGACTATTGTTTATTTTTGGGTTTTTATTTTGTGTGTGTGTGCAGGGTCTCATTACACATCCCATATTAGTGGTAATCCTCCTGATTTCTTCCTCCCAAGTGCCTACTTACAACTATTAATAAGCAATCAACACCGACGGTGGTGAGAGAAGTAGGGCACAGTAGTAACAGCCAGTTCCTCTGTCCTCCTTGTCCTACCAATGTAGAAACCACATTGTGACAATTTTGGGTTTCTTTGCAATTTGCTATCAATAGTGTGTTTTCTGATCAATGATCTGTTTATTAATAATATCACCTTTTTAACTTTTTGTACCAGTAATGGTCTGGGGACTGAGTCCTACGTATAAGGAGCATATGAGAAGATATAAAAATTTTAAGGTCATTTGAAGGCTTAGACAGGTTTTATGTAAGAGGAAGGACTTAAACAGATTCCTAAAGCCTGGAAGAGTGAGGAGTGGGGATAAGACAACATTCCCCACGAGTGCTGGGATAAAAGTGAGGAAGTGGGCCTGGGTGAGTTCTAGAGTATGACACACACAGTGGAGAGGAGGCAGGCACTGAACTGAGGTAACACGAGCAACTGGGTGTAGAGAAAGGGAGCCAAAATGAATAAAATGGTTGACCTGTGTATGCTAAAGAGAGCCTCCTGGCAGCTTTGTTTTCTGTTTCTGTATCTTCTGTTGTTATTTCAGAAGATAGGAGTTTATAAACTAATGAGACTCTAAAACACTTTGCTCAGTGTTTTAGAGTCTGAGGCAACACCAGGCAGTACGATCTGTTCAGCTTCTGGATATGGCTTCCTATGTTACAAGAGGGGAAAGGGAAATTGCAATTTGAAAGATAGGCCCAAGCATAGGTGTAGCACTGCTTTGTAACAACCTGCTTTCTTAAGAACTAGCTTGATCTTAAAGAAAAGCATTCATTTATTTTAAGAGTGCCAGAGATATAATTACCTTCCACTAGGCCCCACTTTTCAAAAGTTAGATCCACCTCTAAACATGGCTGCCCAGGCCAAAGACCTGAACATATAAATCTATGGGGGACATGTATGCATCATATTCAAACCATATATATGAAAGAAGCAAGAGGAGAGAGACACCTGATCCAGACCAAAGATTGACTCCTAAGCTTTGGCGGTCTTCTGCACCAACCAGCTTGGATCACTCAGGCATCCATGTGTGAAGCTTGGAGCTTGATGCAAATATAGGTGCTTCTTGCTGAATAGGCTTGGTGTGATCCAGGTCAATTGTAAGCTGCTTGACTCGGAAATCTGAGGCTTGCCAGTGTGTCTAAGAATTTGCTCTGGAGCCTTCATTTGTGCCTCAACAAGGCAAGGGCTGATCTATTCAGCTGTGGTGCTGCAGTTGTTGCAATGTGAATTTTTGTCCAAATGTGGGTATTATCAGGATGAAGGACACAGCACTTGTCAAAATTCTTAGTCCTGGAAGCTCACTGTAGAGTCCTCATTAGAGGACTGCAGTAGGAGACTGAAGAAACTGAAAACTGACTTCCAAAGGTGATGGAGAAAACTGGAGCTGTTCTGAAACAGAGATATTCTTTCTTTGCCTTTTTATTTTTTCCAGGCTCCAAGTCTATTGGTTGGTACAACCACATCTGAGTTGGGTCCTCCTCCCTCAGTTTGCTGGCCCAAATGTCAGTCATCCACAGAAATATCCACAACTGCATTGTATTAATCTGCTGCACAGTTCTGATTCAAGGCAATGCACTTAGCACACTTAACTGTCATAAGTAGGATGAGATCCAGTTGAGCAAAGCCACAATAACAAAGACAACCTACAGAGTTTAAGAATTCTTAATGTTTGAATAATAATATGAACTCTCTACAATTTCATAACCGTATTTTAAGATATCTTAAGTCAAGTCCAAAATAATGTACCAATGAAATTAGGGTTTTTGATATTTAGGAATGGTTCTGGATATTCCTCATGTTGGAAAACTGTATGTAGTTTTATACTAAATGGAAGTTTTTGACTATTGTGAATCTAAGATAGATATTAATATTTTGAAAATATAAAAATTAACAATTTTATATATTCAAAGGCTGATCCTTGGGGGATTATTTCAGTATCATTAAAAAAACAACTTTGCACTGCCTCCCCACCCCGCCCGGTGAGCAGGATTTTCTGCCGAGTTCCGGGAGCCCCCAGACCCAGTCCTAGCCCAGGTCCGGTGAGTGTGCGGAGAGTTTCCTGCTACCTTGCGCCGGCGGGTACAGTCCCAGCCCAGGAGTAGCGTGTGCTGGACCCTCTCCCAGCCCCTCAGGCCGCCCCCCACCACTCCTCAGTGCCTCCCCCACCCCGCCCGCCTAGTAGGATTTTCTGCGGAGTTCCGGGAGCCCCCAGACCCAGTCCTAGCCCAGGTC